CAAAATGTTTCATATGTTGTGTCCTAGTTTGTTTCTTCATTATTGGGACAAGACACTCTGACTACTACCACTTGGGGAGGAAAGAGTTTGTCTTACATCTCCTGGGTCACAGTTCATCAGGGAGCCCAAGGTAGGAACTCAGGGCAGGAACCTGGAGGCAGGAGCTGGAGCACAGGCCTTGGAGGAACACTGCTTACCAGCTTGCTCCCTGGCCCCTGCTCAGCCTTTCTTATGCAACACAGGCCCACCTGCCCAGGGGTGGCACAACCCACAGTGGGCTGGGCCCTCCCACATCACTCAATAATCAAGAAGAGGCACCACAGTCATGGCCACAGGCCAGTCCTATGGAGGAAATTCCCCAACTGAGGCTTCCTCAACCCAGGTGTGTCAAGTTGACACTAAAGCTATCCAGCACATGTTGTCTCTCTTTGTCACATACCTAAAAGTGATTTACTTTAATGGGGACTGAAAGAGATGTACAAACAAGCAGTTTGAAGGGATGTCTATCTATATAGAGAGATATAGAGATAAATATAGCATTTGTGTATTGCCTATATAGGTGCACCCATGTCATGCAGTGCTTGTGGTGGTCAGAAGAGGGCTTTGGATCCCCTGAAACTGGAGTTATGGATAGTTGTTAGCCGCCATGTGGGTGCTGGGAATCAATCCCGAGTCCTCTGCAAGATCAATCAGTGCTCTTAACTGCTGAGCCATCTCTCCAGTCCCCTAAACATTTCTTAAATTCCCTATAATTTTTTTCACTTTGTAATCATGGTATATGTCTTTTGAAAATCATTATACCTGTGTTTGGGGATTGCTTTATTGTGTTCATACTACTTTTTAATTTTTTATCTGCATCGAGAAGGACTTTTTTCTAAGCATTGGCAGACAGTTGGGATGTGTTCATCTCAATACAGGTAGCTATTTTTTTCCCAATATTGAAAAGCACAGGATTGAAGGGGATAGAACTGGGTGCCACTTGGGGCTTTCAGTAATTGGCATGACAGTTTTTCTTTCCTCAGAGAAATCAGCGAAGGAACTTCTTAGACAGAAGGAGGATCTCTGTGATGGAGCCATGGTTCTTAGAATCCAGTGGAAGCTCATGGGGGTCCCCAAGGCCTTTTAGGAGGTCCACACTCCTTTTATCCACTAAAGATCTAGCTAGGGCAAGCTATTTCTAAATACTTCAACCAAAACACATCACAGCAGACTGAATTCAGAGGCAACTATAAAAACCCATCTTCTATCCAGCCTGACAGTTAAAGGGATTTGAAAAACGCAATGTAATGCCAATATTCTTAAATAACATTTCATAGTTTTTCATGACCATTTACCATTTATGTTAGTATATAATAGGATTCTTACTTTAAATGAATAATAATATATATATTTTATCAACTTTAATTTTTTGGCATTCATTAGTAGATTTTTATATAGCATTTATGCTATAATATGAACATATCCTTCTCTAAAAATAATGGACTATTTTTTCAATGTATATTTTTCATTGAATTTTTGTGAATTTCATACATCTTGATCATGTTTAGAGCCCCTCCCCTGTCTGCAGTCCCCCATAGACCAGACTCAGGATTTCATACATTTTGTCATATATGTTAAGGGCTATCCAGTTAAGCTACCAAGATGTCCCTCGGTGCAAGTTCATCTACTGGAGTCTGTTCAGTCTACCTAGTGTCACTCCCTAAAGAAGATCAACTCTCTCTCATCCAGCAGTGATCAACTGCCAATAGTTCTTTGGCTAAGGTTGGGGCTTCCTGCCCATTTCCTCAGTTATATGCTGGGTTTTTGTCTGATTGAGTTTGCATGGGTCTTGTTATGCTGTCACCATTGCTGTGAGTTCATATGAGCAAGTTACCAGAAGCCTGGAAGACTCTGTTTCCTTCTGGTAATATGCCACTCCTGGATCTTACAGTCTTTCCACCCCTCCTTCTGCAATAGTTCCTGAGCCCAGACCAGGTGAGGTTTACTATGAGTCCTATCCAGGAACACTCACTCTGCAGTCTCTTATTCTCTACACTTTGGCCAGTTGTGGCCTTGTGTGTTCATCACCCTCTGTTGCATGAGAAAATTTTGCTGATGAGAGTTGAGAGATGCATCAGTATTCTCTTTATTCCCTGTTCCACTATGTTCCATGAGCCTTAGGTGTAGAAGTTCCAGTGTAGATGTGTCAGGGCTGGTTATCTCACAGACAATTATCTGTGTGTGACCAGTTGTAGATTCTGTAATAGTCTCTATCTGTTGCAAAAAGAAGCTTCCTTGTTGATGAGTGGTGACTGGCATATTTACCTAAAAATAGAAGGATCCATATTTAGCATACAGTAAGAAATTACATTTGTCTAGGGATGTGGCAGACGTAGGGATTTCTCTAGGCTGTATGACCTCTCCAGTCATATGTATTTGGCTATGTTTACAGTTTACACCACACATGAGTTCCCTCCCACTGAGTGAGTTTTAATTCCAATTAGATAGCTGTTGATTACCCACCAGATAACAGTGCCACTACTGCACCAATATAGTTTTCTGTGCCAGGCATTTGTTGTGATTATTAGGCTTTAAAGCTGGGTTTGGACCATTGATTGATTTTATCCTTTAGTGGCTTGCATAGAGTCCTCTAAAACTATGAGAGCTACTCTTCAGGGAGGTGGCTTCCAGGTCAGTTCTAGCTCCATTGCTCCAAGTCTTGTGTTTGAAGTACGTCTTGTTTTCAGCAGTAGGGTCTTACCTTCAAGTTCTGGGAAGTGATAAAGGACTGTGGCAATAGCTTGTGTTATTTTGGGAGTTTCTTGGACCACCCTGACCAACAACTTGAAGGGGAAGTTTCTCCTGTCTGACACTTTTGTTGTTGTTGTTAAATAGCCTTCAGCTATACACATGCACTCTTCTACAGATACTGTATGTGTATTTTGAGTAGGCTTTTGAACTAATACATTTCTCTTTGGTTTGTCACACCACTTAAATGTTATTTATCTCTCATCTTTCTCTCCCTGTCTAAACTTCCCTCCTCCTAATATGGCCCATATCAATAGAAGAACCTGCATTAAAAAGTTTTTGGGCATTCTATAATTTTTTAAGGTGTAAAGGGGATCCTAAGACCAAAAAGTTTGAGAACCTAGAGATTTTGGCTTCTAGTTCGGAGTTTGGAGTATTTATATTACCTATAAATATGAATATATGTACATACATATACATACATACTACTTAGCCATTGTATGTGGTAAAAAAGGATATAACTCCCTCATTATTATTATTTTGGTGCTGGGGATTGAACCAGGGCTTTGTACTTACATCCTTACTGAGCTAGATCCCTAGCCCTTCTCCATTATTTTTTCCTGAGAAAGAGAAGAACCCCACAGTGTCTGAGTCCTCCCTCCCTCACTGACTAGATGAGTTCACCGTTCGTAAGACTCTAGTGTGCTAGCTAGTAGAGATGGGGCATCCTGCTCAGAAAGCTATTGATAGAGTCCATTCTACATTGTGGTGGTAATAGAGTCAGGGGGGCAAGGATGGGGAAAATCCATGCTCATTAACTTGTTTAAACCTGTCTTTAGGTACTACTAGCCCTTTAGGAAATATATGCAGTCATTCCTCAGTATTCATGGAGCAATTGGTTCTATGATCCATCTATCCCTCACAAATGTTCAAGTCTCTTGTATATAATGGTGTACTTGACTATAATCTATGTGCATCTTCCTAACACAGTGTAAGTCATCTGTAGATGACTTAGAATACATAATACGCTATAAATAGTTGTTATATACAGTATTGCTTAGGGACTATGGACAATAAAAACATACATGTTCAGTACAGAATCAATCTCCCTCCCCAGTGTTTTGGATCATATCATTGGTTGACTGAATTTTTAGATATAGTGTCATAGACTTGACTGACTGTATAACTGCAAAGTTCACATTTCACACCAGATAATCTTCGAGGAAAGGGGTTCTAAGTAAACTGCATCTTCTTGGGAGGAACCTTGGAGTTTAAGAATTGGAGGTGAAGGAATCAGGGCCAGAACCCCACATTGTTTCTTTCATGCTGACAATGGGCAAAAAAGAGTTGGGAATAAACAAGAATATTAGTAAGAGAAAGAGAGAGCAGTTGGGAAAGAGGGGGCCAGTGTACATGGTTCAGGGAAGGAGGGCTACCACCCCCACCCAGTGCCTGCTTAGGTCTCAGTCTATAGCTGTGCTCACTCTAACACCTAGAACCATGGGCTCCGACACTCCTAGGAGATGCTCTGGGTTGTACTATTGGCTCTTGGTCCTGGAAGGGCTTAGCACATGATTCTCATTACTTACTATTAGGCTTCTCTGATACACAGACTTGATGTATAGACTTGAAGAAGATGCTGTGTAGGCTGGTTGAAATTCAAGGACACATTTCGTTTTTGGTTAAAGTGTGACAAAGATGGTGGTCAATGTGAACACTTAAGAAAGAAAGATGATTTTGATTTTGAACATGATAAGCTTGAGAGGCTACACCTACATAGAGATGTCCAATAGGCAGACAGAAATAGAATCTGGATCTAGGGATGGATGGGATGGAGATTTGGCTAGAGGCATTGCCTCAGAATCATTATCTTATAGAAATGGTCAAAGTTGTGGACAAAGTGATTTTAACATTTAATTTTTCTCTTTAGTGGTGGTGGAGATTGAACCCAGGGCCTTGTGCATGCTAGGCAAGTGCTATACCACAGAGCTATGCTCCCAGTCTAGAGCAACTGAGTTTAAAATATTTTATTTAGTATTTTTATTTTATGTGTATGAGTTTATTCCCAGCATGTATGCAATGCCTGAAGAGGTCAGAGAAGGCATTGAATCCCCTGGAACTGGAGTTATAGGTGGTCGTTAACTGCCATGTGGGTGCTGGGAATTGAACCCTGGTCCTCTGCAAGAGCAGTCAGTGCTCTTAACTGCTGAGCCATCTCTCCAGCCCCCACAGACAAACTGAATTTAATAACTGTATCTCCTTTGCTTTTTCAGCTCTTCCAGGTGGCTTATATTTTAATCAAATTTGCAAATTCTCCGCGCCCTGATCTTTGGGTCTTGGAAAGATCTGTAGACTTTGGAAGCACCTACTCACCATGGCAGTATTTTGCTCGTAAGTGATCTTGCCTACCGTACTAGGGGCTCTGGTTATTTATGATAGTTTAAGACTATGGATTTAGTTAGAAAATTAGTTTTGCCAGGTGTGGTGGCACATACCTTTAATCCCAGAACTCGGGAGGCAGAGGCATGGGTTATCTCTGTGAGTTCAAGGCCAGCGTGGTGTACATAGTGAATTCCAGGCCAGCGGGGGCTACAGGGAGACCCTGTCTCAAAAAGACACTCCCCCCCAAAGAAAACAAGATTAGTTTCTCTGTGTGACTAGGTAGAGACTGATCAGTTTGCTTTCCTAACTTGTCCTCAGTCACGTGTGTATCGATTCAAAGGATATGACTTGCAGAAATAGAAGTTGTAATTTCTTTTATTATTTTTTTTTTCTTTTTCTTTTTTCGTTTCTACAAATGATTTTATAAAATAACACTCTGAAATTTTTTTTGGAGTTAGAATTTTTTAATTATTTATTTAATAACCACATAATTAGAAGAAGCATTTCATTACAACAGCATTGACATATTCTATAACAATTTCCAGAGCTAAGATCCATCTCTTTCCAAATTGGCTGTAAATTTTTAGTTTTACAGTTGAATTAATACAGTTATACAATATTGTACTCAGTATAAACTGTATAAGACATAAGATTAAATGAGGTTTTAACCTTTAAAGAGGATCTCCATTTCATTATTAAAATACACAGTTTCATACAGAAAAATTCATTTCTAATGCAATTAACACTAAGATGTTTGCACATGTGTTTCTGATCTCTGTATATCTGATTATTGCTAGTCATAGTCAGTTACTTTCTGAGCTCCTTGGCATGTGTATGTCTATGAAGTCATTGGGTGGATTTCAGTGTTAATGTTTATCACCTCTACTAATTAGCATGATGTAAATTTCGATGCTTCCTCCTCAAATATAATACATTTTAAAAAAAT